ACGGCGACGATTTCCCCGACAGATCTTTGTCCGACAGCGTGCCAGCGAGGTCCTTGTACGGCCCATCATCGGCGAGCAGCGCAGGTACATCGCATTCGAGCAGGAGCTCTGCCAACTCGGCGTATTCACACAACTCCCACACCTCGGCGAGGTCGTTCGATCCTCTAGGGAAGGCCGCTATCAAACGGAGGAGACGAAGAGCCGTGGCCAAACGGCCAGAGTCAAAAGGGACCGGTACACTCTGGCAAACTTCGAACACCTACCAATGCACCTTTTGTACAGAGACTTTCAAGACGAAGCACAACTGGCAGCGCCACGAGAAGTCGTTGCACTTGTCTCTCGAACGGTGGGAGTGTGCACCAACGGGCCCTGCGGTACCCGACGCTAGTGGGTGCTTGGTATGCGTCTTCTGCGGCGAATCCAACCCCGACAAGGAGCACCTCGAGAAGCACAACTACCAGGCTTGTCGAGACCGGTTACAAGAGGATCGCACGTTCTACCGAAAAGATCACCTTCAGCAGCACTTGAAACTGGTACATGATGCCAGGTTTCTACGCTGGCCTATGGGAGAATGGAAATACGAAAGTGAGGTGATCCGGTCTCGATGCGGCTTTTGCGGCTGGTCTATAACCACCTGGAATGACCGTATAGATCACTTGGCGGAGCATTTCAAGGATGGCAAGACCATGGCGGACTGGCACGGAGATTGGGGGTTTGATGACAACGTGCTCAAGATGGTGGAGAACTCGATGGCTCCTTGTAAGTATCGCCCGGAACAGCGGAGAACAGACAGACAGCTGACAACTCTTGTTTGTGTAGATATGATTCACATGGAACGATACTCGCCTTGGCCATTCACGACCAAGCAGGGGGTGCCGGAGACGCCGCCGAATGCCTTCGAGCTGATCAAGCTCGAGCTCGAGCACTTCTCCGCCGAGCACCAGGTCGCCAAGGACCAGATGCCCACCGATGCGGAGCTGCTTTACGAAGGTTGCTGCGTGATATTTGGATGCGACTCGATATCCTTTTCGAAAAGACCTGTAAACTCAACGCAGTCGTGGTTACGCGACTTGTTCATGTCGTCCGAGGCGACCGTGCAGCAAGCACGAATCCGGCCCATGAAGGATAACTCCAAGTCCAGGTTCACGTACCTCAGCATTAACGGGAAAGCAAACATATTCGAAGAGTGCAGCTTGGAAGAACAGCTCCTGAACTATGTGGAGATTTCCAGGATGATCGACCCTCAAGTGCCAGACGAGGACCTACAAAGGGAAGCCTGTAACATTGTACAAGGCATGGAGGCGTCATCTCCGCATCCATCAGAGACTTTTGCAAACTTCTTGACCAGTCTTATCAACAGCTCGAAGCACTGGCTTGCAGCCTTCCGCCGGCGCGCCAACCTCCCTCCCTCGCGGCCGTCCAGCACGCTGCAGATTGGAACGCCGAGTCAAGAAGTAAAGTCCACTACGGCTATCCCCAACACCGACCTCAAAGGCTCCTCTCTTGGCACACCGGATCCGTTACAGCCTGCGACCAGTTCGAGCTCTGCTGCTTTCGCGCCAAGTTCCGGTCCAAAAGACGGCCATGCCGCAGCTCCGTCCACCTTCTTCGTCAATGAGGACAATTGCTACAGAAAATTAGTTAGGGAGCTGACCCGGTTTGTTACCATCACAACTTCGCCGCGGAATCCCAATCGGCGCATCCCTACCGATGCTGAACTTCAACATCAGGCACGCTGGATTTCGTTTGAGGAGTAAGCATTCGACCCAATTTCGGCGGTATTTCGACCATGGCGTTGTGGGACCAGATACTGATGCGCATTTGCTTCCCTAGTGATGATCCGTGGAATCAAACCCCGGCCGATAATCCAGATTGGCTTCGGGACTTTAAGCGTGAAATGGGCATCTTGGACGAGAGACAAAGCTAATCCAGGGGATGATGAGCTTCGGTCTTAATCAAAGTAGTGGTTATCGAATACGTCAATCTGATGAGTGGCGGCTAAGGTTGCGGATGTTGAAAGAGACAAGCAACGTAGGGAAAACAGTGTTATTGAACTACGCAGAACAAACCCGTTCAGAAGACTGATGCATGATTCATAATCAATAACCGATGCAATCGGGGCCGGCCCTTTGGTCGTCTCCGCCCGGTGGCGAGTATACGACTGGCCGGTGTTATGGTATATCAAGACTTACTGGGTCATAGTCATCCAGGTTCAAATATTGAACCGACTTTGTCAACACTGCGGGCTGTCGCCGCTCGGTTTTGATTCCTCCGGGCGTCTATCTCAGATCGCAGCTGACAAGTATGACAGCAGCAGAATGTATCAAGAGATTCGCAGTTGCTCTGCGTTCTTAGGTGTTTTGGACCGCCAGAAGTGCTGCGCATCGGGTTATACGTATGGCGATATCCATGTACGGTTTGAACTTGGATCAACCGCTTATGGGGGTTTCAAAAGATTATGTTTCTCGATATAAAGAGATACGCTGGCTACTAATAAGTTTGCTTGTCCACGCTACCCTGTCAACGCGCTTTGGGGCTCCCACAAAAGCGCGGTGCTTCAATAACCCCAATCTTGTTCTTCATCCATTCGCCGAGATGCCGTTTCCAGGTCTCGTCTTCTGTACCAGCCATTACAGCGTGCACATTCGGGGTATCTGTATGTTTACTTCCGTCGAAAATCGCGTCAATCTCTTCGAGGGTTTTCCCCTTGACCTCAACCCAGTAGCAGAGAATGAAGACAAAAAACATTATGTTCCACACGCCGTTGGCTATGAATAGCCAGTACCCGATAGCATCTAACGCTGCTGGGAAGCCGAAGTTGCCTGCAATACCGATCATGCAAACTAGAAAGCTGAACATGCTCATGCCCTGGGCTCTTATGCGGAAGTAAAGCATTTGTGCAGGTACAAGAAAGAGGATCGGAACCCACCCAAAAGAATACGAAACCGAGAAGAAGAAAATGCTACCGACTGTTGCCCAAATTCCGGGGGCGTAGGTGGTGTCTCCGTAGAACTTTGTGAGAGCGCCGATGGCAAATAATCCGATCGTCACTCCAGCAGTACTGATGAGTGCAGTAGCTTTGGTTCCCCATCTGTCTGTAAAATAACTGCCGATAATCGAGACCACCAGCGAGCTTGCGTTGAGCCCGACGTTCTGCGTTGTTAGCTCCGGGTGTCCTTCTCTACATTGGTCGTGGGAACACTCACCAGAAGCAACTGTGAGGCCTTGTTGCTCACCCCGGCGTTTGTGAGCATTCTACCGATATTATACATGACGAAAATGTTCCCGGTAAGCATAGAGAATATTGCGCAGGTAGCGGTGATGACGAGCCTCTTTCTCGCCCCTCGGTTCCGGAGTGCCTCCTTGCCCGACATCGGGTCCCGCTCGTACTCGATCGTTTCGCAGATTTGCCTGAACTGGAGGCGCACGACGTCGTCCCTCGTATCTCCACTCGAATTTACCTGAGCCAACACTGCCAAGGCTTCCTGGGCGCGTCCCTGATCAACTAACCAACGGGGACTCTCGGGCATCCAGGGCAGTAAGGAAACACACCAGAGCCCCCAGACGCCCTGGACAAGGGTTGGCAGTCGCCACGCCCAGGTACTGTCGATCCTGAAGGCTGAATACGTCACGCCCGCGGCGACGAGAGCGCCCACGTAAAAAAAGTCATCGAAAAGAGCCAGTCCCCATGCGCGCTGCTCCCACGGTAACGTCTCGACGAGGTAGGCGGACCCGGAGATGACCGAAGCGGTCGTGCCGAATCCGATAAGAACTCGGGCCACGCAGAACGTGGCGATGTGTTGTGCAGCAGATTGCAATATAGCCGCAAACACTGTGATCATGGCTGCCCAGAACAGCCCAAAACGGCGACTATACACGTCCGTTACCCAGCCCCAACAAAGACACTGCGAATGTATCAGCTCCAAGTCATCCCAGCGCAGACGGTATTAAATGAACTGCCGCTGTACGAGTTGACAGAACAAGAATCGAGGGATTGATGGATGTGAGCAGGAGGCAGCCGAAGGATAACTCACGGAGAGAGCTCCGCCAAAGTAATTGGCGGAAATGTTGAGAGAAGTGGTCACCGTTGAGAGCTTGAAATATTCGGTATACTGCGGCAAGATGTTCATGCTGCCCATCATTGCTCCGTCATAACCCTGCATCTGATGGATACAGAGTAAGCACTGTTCCAAAAGAGAATTGCTCAAAGGACCCTTACAGCAGCCGTGATCAACGTGCAAGCCAACAGCAACACCACATTGCCTCTCTTGGATTTCGGTTGCCATGTGGGTGATTTGAAGGGAAGAATATCTCCCTTGGACCTTCGATGGAAGCATAACAGCCCCATGTCTTTTCCTAATAACAGGCCACTCCTTTGAACACACGAAGCTATCGCGACCGATTATATGACTGTCGGGACTTTGCCAAGCCTATATGGTGTGAGAGGATGAGCTGGCTGGAGCTGGGAGGGGTTTCGAGCGGGGATGGTAGTTGTATAGCAATCACGAAGATCGTGTCGCGTCCCCACTCTTTTAGACTCTGCAAGCTCCTCGTTGGCAACTTAAAACCTTATCGAGAGGAGAAAGGGGCGGGATAGCAAGTCATTGTCAAGGGAGGGCAAGGTAATATTTATATTCTTCGTGGCCATAGCACGGCGGGCGCTGTAGACTATGACTTGGTAGGCCTACTGCCAAGTTACAATGCTTGTTATTGGTTGACTCATAAGCGAAACTGACAGAATCATGTTACGTTGCTCAAAGTTACGTAGACGGACATCAATGGTCCTAGACTGGGTTCTAGACTCAGCTATGCATTGCCCTTCTCGCCTTGTATCTGTCCTCCTCGGAGCCCCCCGAGATGAACACATAATCGGTCGTTGTATATGATGCAGACAATGCAGTCTCCTTCTATTGTTGTCTCCTGATGCTAGATTCCGTGCCGAATCGATATCACGCGGTTTATGTCATGAACATGGGCGATTGCATTGGGACAAGACTCGAATGAATGGCCGCTTCTGGCCCATCGACATGCAGTTGCCTACCAAAGCTCACCGCGCTTTGAAAATGGTGATACTATATCGGAATCCACCTGAAACCGGAGGTTCGTCTACATAGCACCTAAAAAGTAATCAAACTCAAGCAGCTTGATCCTTGCATGCAAAACTATTGGGGGAAAGATTGGGCAAAATCGCCTCGCGGGCCAAATTGTGGTTGAACGCGCGTCACGATGCTAGACGATATCTGTGGTTTGCTCCAAGCTTCCACCCGACCAGTATCACAGGATTTGACGGGATACACCAAGTCAACTGACAAGTGGGAAGGGACCCTGGTCCAAAAATGACTCAGATCGGGCAAGCCAGAACCTAGATGAAGCGTGCAGAAAGACGCTGGGTGTGCCTTATAGGCTTTCGACATAGCGCCAATCGCGGAACCTACATCTTTTTCTCCCAGGCCGGTGCTTGACGGCTTTTACTGGCTCGTGAAAGGATCTATCCGTAAGTCATGGATAGCATCCCATCCGGACAGCCGATTCCGAGACCGCAATACAGTGTAGGTAGTCTGAGCATTGACTGGAAGAAAAAAACGATGCAGAGATTGAAGACCCCTGAAATTCGTCCATATTGGCCCGGAGGTGCTCTTACAACGCATCCGGTCTTGTCATTGCCCCTTTTGCGTGTTCTATACCAAGCAACTCATGAGTGAACACTCGTTCAAATCCCGCGACCCTTTGGAAAAAGAACAAAGGTGAGATACGCAGAAACATCTCCCTCTTACATGCAGTGGAGAACATCTGGACTGCGGAAGGCATCGTAATGATCGCCCGCAGCCGGGTTCACCGACCACCCGATGTTGATGGCCCCTTAGGCTGCAAACCCAGAGCTAGCTTTTTAGCCTTTGAAGACGATGCCGCCCACAAGGTTTGCGCTCGTCGTGGCGCTAATGGAAGGTTTCGTGCTAGCCTAGTTGCCAGATACGAACCCTAGGCTCGACAGCGAAAACTTAGGGGTCCAAACGTCATTACACACCATCATGTCCCGTGACGACCGATCGCATATGCAAAGAAGACATCTGTAAGATGTGAGGTATCTGCCCACACCGTTGCTGGTAAGCTGGAGCTCTTTCTTTCGTAATGTTCCGAAAGACATGAACATGGTCTCCGGGGGCTTCTATCAACGGCTTGGTGTGCCCTCACCGGGCGTGGCGGCTCGGTCCGGAGGCAGGCCGCTATGGAAATCGGCGAGCACCGGGCGTAATCCTCAACTCTCGGCTATAGCACCTCGGCACCAGATACCATGCAAGCGCCAGGGGGAGATGTTGGGGAGAGCCACTAAAACTGCAGAGTAGCCTTAAACTTTTCAACGGACTTTGAACGCGATAAGAGCGAGCTGTTGGTTTCACAGTTCACAGCACCACCTCTATTATAAACCATGGACGATTTGCGTTTTGCAAATAGTTGGTTGGAGCCGGGGAAGCCGGGCGGTCGGTATGGAAAGTGACAGGGGCATTGCCAGTCTCTCTCTCAGACTCGAGGGCACCAGAACGGGATGTCTCAACGCCACGGGAGACGCGCTTAGTCCTAAAGAATCAGCATCATAATTAAGGTGCTGGCTACCCCGAACAAACGCAGCTACCCAGGTCCATGTTTTCGAGAGTCTAGATCAGCTCACATAAGGTCTAAATATCCTGCTTTAGTAGCGAAATCTGAACTGTCGTATGCTCAAGCTACCTGATCGGCGTAGCCGGGCTGCGTGAGGGCCTGGCCTTTCAATATTGGTAGTTTATTGTCCGATGCACCCCGAAATTCAAAACCGTCGCTATGTGAGCCCAGCGCTGACACAGCCCAATGTAAACAACCCCCAGAGTCAATGTTCTGATCACCTTGCGGCCTCTCGATATTGATTTGGAGGATACCACTTCGCCATTCGGCCATCAACACTAATCAGAGAAGGTCACGGGGCTCGGCGATCATCCCGCCTCAAGGGGTCTTGAAGCACTGGGTCAACAAAGGTTTATCAACGGACCGACACGGTGATCTGCCTTGCTCGAGGACCATGAAGATAATTGGCAATATCATGTTGTCAGTGGCGAAGTTCATCGGCATGTCGACCAAGGACATAAACATTGTCGTTGACCATCACTATATGTCCAAGGTCTACACTTGCGGCTCCATCGTTTCTGGTCAAGTTGAAATCAACCCACGAACAGATATTCCGTTCAGTTTTAGTTCAAGTAAGTCTTTTTGGAAAAGCCAGCATCCGACGAGAGAACGCCTACGTCTTTACACACTCGACTCACCTTCTTCTTCAGTTGCATATGCCCGTGCCCGAATCCGCACTACCGATGTCAAGATGGTTCAAGCTCGGGCACACTTTCACTATCCCGTTACAATTCGACATTCCCCACAATCCTCCTGGCGGCTCGTGCCGCCACCGAGTGGAGTCAAGTATGATACGCAGGCGTCACATTCAACTCTCATCCACCTTGACTGGGTGAAATAAGGACGATTTGTCTCTAGAAACTATGAAGGACCGCTACTGTGTCAAAGCCGTGATACCAGAAAAGGCTATAAATGTCGCAGAGCAACCATTGCTGAAGATGGAGGCAGAACAGTTCATTAACCTCCTTGCAACTTCGCCCGAGGACCTCCCAATCACCATCAACAAAAAAGACGTTGACTTCGCTTTAGAAAAAACAAGAAATCTCCGCAAAGGCGAACACACAGGCTCTTCTGGCTACGTTACCGCTGAAACAGCCCAGACAGGGGCCGTACGTCTCAGCGTAGATGGACATAGGGCCAGCAGCTCCTCTGCCCAGATCCAATTCACTTTTGCCCCCTTGTTAGCTAAAATGCCACCTCCAAGGATCACAGGAAAGTCTGTAAAGGTAATAACACGGACTTAGGGCTTTCCGCAACCAAAGTCAATATTGCCTAATCTAGGAAGCGGTAGAGAGTCATTCGTGCTTTGCACCCGAGTTATTGTAGACTCGGTCTCAAGTACGCCTTGGATAGAGCATGTCACCTTACCGGTTCAATCGACACCCAGAAGAAGCCGCAACACTGTGTCTTCTGTTACACGTACATGCGCCATAGATACCAGCTTCAGATTGCCGACCTCAACCAAAATCTTCCCCCCAACGTTTCACTCTTGCATTATTTCTCGGGCCTATAGTCCTAAGATCGACATGAGTACTGACCGGTGCCACCTCAGGTTGACACTACCAATTCAAGTCGTGATGGAACCACATGAGCATCGACTAGAAGCATGTCCACGGAGCACCTTGCCGGCTTGGCATGAAGGTTGTGGGGAGGCTGTTTATACATGTCTGCGGGAACATTGTCATACGACTAATGTAGTGGGCAGGGTAGTACCGTGGCAGAGCTTGTGTTTCGTTTCCAGATCTCGACGACCCAAATTTGTCTCGCGAGGTGATGAAGTTTCCATTTACTTTACCCACCATCTTTCAGTGTTTAGTAATAGTATATATAAAATAGATAACTATATTTAAGTGTTTAAGTAACTAGCTTTTCTATATAGCCTTTAAGACCTTAAGATATATCTTAGTATAAGTAGCTAGTTATAAACAAGGATATAATAGTTTAATATAATTATAAATCTATTTTACTAGAAAAAAGTAAAACTTAATAAATAATTATAAAAGAAGAATATACTAAAACCTAAAATAACTTATTAGTATAAAGTAAAAATTATTACTAAGGAGACCTTTAACCTTATAGCTAAAGAACTTAATATATAGAAGACCTTATAGGAGAAACTTTATAATTAGGCTATACGTTATTACTATAACCCTAAGAAGCTACTCTTTTTTAAGATTAATATATATATTAATAGCTTTAGGCTTATAGTATTCTAACTTAACTATAACTAAGATAAAGAGAAAATACCTAGAATTAATATATTAAATAACTATATTAACCTTATTCTTTTTCTCTTATAGACTATAACCTAGGTAGAGAAATATTTTAGTATAACTAAGGCTAAAGTAGTAGTTATTATATAGGCTATTAAGAAGCTTTAGAAACTTATTTAGTTAAATAAATATAAGGTTAATATTCTTATAGACTATATAGTTATAAAAGGTATTATTACTTATATATTATTATAAATAATAGACCTTAATAAGGCTAACTTATGTTTTACTAATACTACTAACTACCTCTTTTAATTTTAGCTTTAAATCTTCTATATCCTAGGTAAGCTTAATATAGTACTAGATATATTATCTTAACTCCTAGTTACTTAACTTAACCTTATAAAGTATTTCTTATATAAGGATAAGCTTATAGATATTAATAATAAAGATAAAGTTAAAGATATAGTAATAGTATAGTACTTAAGTAATAAACCCCTAAGCCTAGGGAAAACTACTATAATAATAGTATAAATTAATAATAAGTTTATAAAAAGTATTATTATAGGCTACTAGAATAATAAGAAATTTAAGGACTTAAGAGTATAGATTATATAAATATAAAAGAATAATTATAAATATATTACCTTAGATAAAGTAAAAAAAGATTAATAACTTCCTTGTAAATAATAATACTAGCCCTATATAACTATACTACTATAAGAGATTAACTCTAGGAGACTAATCTTTTATATAGCCTTAGATAGTATATATAGACTTTATATCTTAAAACCCCTTATAAATAAAGTGTTTACTTTTACTTATAATAAGAAATTTTACTTTAGGCGTAATAAAATACTTACTAAGCTTTAAAGCTTTTATATCCCTAGAAAAGTAAAGTTAGTAAAAGTATATATTACCTATTACCTAGTATACTAAGGTAACTAGATAAATTACTAAAAGACTATAAGATCCTTTTAACTTATTATAATACCTAGTATACTTTACTATATTATTTTTATAGACTTTATTATAAATATATTAAAAGTCTTAACCTAAGGTAGCTTTTAGGCTATACTTAACTTTTATATATTTAATAGTCTTTATATTATAACCTATAAGTTTAGTAAAAAAATCTTACTTATCCTAGGGTATATAAGGTATAAGGCTTACTACTAGGCCTAGGTATTACTTTAAACACTTATAATATATAACTAAGGACTACTAATAGTAATTATTAGTAACTATAACCTTAAGTTTATTTTTATAATATAGGTAAAAATATTTAATACTCTTAAAGTATAACTACTTATATCTATAGTGTATTATCCTTAGACTAATAGTTAAAGTAAAAGAACTAACTAAATAGTTAAAATTATTATATACTTTTATATATATATTAACCTTAATATCCTATAGACTAATATTCTTATAGCTTTATAATACTTACTTAATAACTTATTAGTAGTTATAGTAGGTTACTTACTAAACAAGGTTATTTTAGATTTTACCTTAGGATAATACTAAAGTATATTAGTAAAAATAGACTTCTATTAGAGTCTCTTAATATCTTATACTAAATATACTAGGTAAAAGCACTAGCTTTTATTAATATAGTAGAAGTAATAAAAAAAGAATAATATAATTATTACTATTACCTTATAAAACTTAATATTAAAGATAAGGTTTTTTTTTAACTTAGTAAAGGCTATTTATTACTAGGTAAGCCTAAGTAAAAATAGTCTCCCTAGTGCACTAGACCTTTCTATATTACCTATATAGTTAGGCTAAGAGCCTATAAACTTAACCTACTACTACACTAGAAAGTCTACCTAGTAGTATTAACTATATAGCTATAGAAAGCACTAACTAGTAATAACCTTTTTAAAAAAAGTAGTTACCCTTAGAGCTAGTAAAAGTAAATAGTATAAAAGAATTTAAAGTTAAAAGGATTATAAACTATAGAGTTAACTAGTAAAAGAACTACTTATTAGCTAAGTATTTTATTAAGTAAAAGAGGTACTTACTAGTATTTAATATATAAGAACCTTATAAGAACCTTACGCCTAATACTAGTAATATTATAACTAACTTTAAGAAGGCTAACTTTATTAATTAAGTAGTAAAGTATATAAAGAAACAAGACTAAAAGCCTATATTAGTAGACTTCCTATAGACACTACTATAGTTAGCACTAAAATAGTTATAATACTTTATAATAACGTAGAGAAAAACTTAGCCTTATACCTCTATTTTTAATAATAACTTTATTTCTTAATTTCTTTTAATAAGAATAGTAATAACCTAAAGATAACTAATACTTTTTTTTATTAAGATATATAGTTATATAGTAAATAATAAGAATATTTATATAAGTTAATATCCTAAAATAATAGAAGAAGCCTTTACCTAATATAACTAACTATACTTTCTTTACTTATAGTTACTAATAATAATAATAAGATAAACTAACTTACTTACCTATAACTACTGTTTTCTTATTTTTAATCTACTAAACCTATTACTTTCTTATTACTATTACTAACTTTACTATATTACTACTATTATTAATAATAACTTATTAATATTCTTGTAGTAATAGTACCTTTTTTTCTTATATTTCCTTTTCCTTTTCTTTTTATAAACTTCTACTCCTTAAACAGGAAGAAAAAACAAGATATTATAAGTGCCTTAATTTAATTTAGCCTTATCCTAGGCAATAATAATCCTCTAAACCTAGACACTATTAACCTTAACTAGTACTTTAATAAAGATAACCCTCTCTATATTACTAGCCTCTAGGTAAGTTAGCCTAATAAGTAAACTAACTAGCTTAATAAGGTTACTACTGCCCTAGCTAATAAGCCTAGATCTATTCTTAAGCTATCTTTTATAGCTATTAACTAACTAGCCTCTTAGTCTTAGAATAAAAAAAAGCTACTAAGAATAATAATAACGTTAATAAAAATAATAATAATAATAATAAAAGGGAATTAATAGGGGGGCATTATAAATTAATATAAGGGTATTACTCTTATAAGGGTGTTACTTTTTAGCTACCTAATTAGTTAAAAAAAACAGTATATCCCTATAAAGGCAGTAAAGGTAATTATACTAATATAGCTATTCTACTGTTCTATTCTACTATTAACTAATTAACCTATATAGCTATAGAAAATAGGCTCTATAAGAGGGGTTCTTTTTATAGCTATAAGATATAGCCTTTATAAGAAGCACTATCTTTATAGCTATAAAAAAAGCCCCCTTATTAAGCCTGCTTTATAGCTATAAAAAGAGCCCCCTTATTAAGCCTACTTCTTATAGCTATAAAGGTTACCCCTTTTACTAGGCCTACTTCTTATAGCTATAAAAAGAGCCCCCTTATTAAGCCTACTTCTTATAGCTATAAAGGTTAGCCCTCTTGCTAGGCCTACTTCCTATTTACCTTAAGAAAAGTAACTTTTTTTATATTTAAAATACTTACTACTTAGCTACTTTTTTATAATATAGCTATAAAAATTTATTATTACTACTAACTATTTTTTATTAACTCTATATCTTCTATATACTAGGCTAAAGTAGCTATTTACTTATATAACTATTTATTATTCTTCTTTTATTAAGAATACTAGACTAACTTTTTATTTATTACTAAAATAAAGTTAAAATCTAGCTTTAACTTAGTTAACTTTTTTTTTATAAAGACCTAGCTAGTATTAACTTATTATTTTTACTTTTAGGTAAATAACTTTACTTTTTACTACTTATACTTTAGCTTTTACTAAAAGTATAAGTTTAGCTAGTTAAGTAGCCTTCTTTTAGTAAAAATAATTATAATAAGATAAGCTATACTATATTCTTTAGTCTACTATAGAAAAATACTATAATCTTAGGATTAAGGATTTAGTAGTATAGATTAAAAGAAGATATCTTTTAAAGATATTACTAAAGGTATACCTCTTATTTACTAAAAGCTACTAAATTAAGTATCTTAGTAAAGATCTTATAGTAGTATAAGATACTAAGCTTAGTTAAAATAGTATAGTCTAGACTATATTCTTTAATAAGGTCTAAGAATAGTCTTTTATTAAAAAGTATTACCTTTTTTACTAGCTAGTATTACTTTTTAATTAACACTAGACACTTTAAGAAAAGTAGTATATAAAGTTTACTAAAAAGCTTAAAGTAAAGACCTATATACTTTTAGTCTTAAAGGATTTTATCTTTTATATATATTTACCTAAAGTATAGCCCCTAGTTACTAATTATATTTTATATAATATTAATAAGTTAATATAGGTAACTAAGACTATTAAAGAGATAGCCTTTAATATTATTATTACTTAATTCTATACTAGAGGTAATATAAACACTAAAGTTCTAGTATTTTTAGATAAAGTAGTAAGCCTACTATACCCTTAAGGGTAAATATATTATATAAAGGTACTAGAGGATTAGGTATTAGTTAATAAACTCTTTATAAAGCTTAGTCTAAGCCTCCTTAAAGGTATACTTAGTCTTAGTAAAAATAATAAGCTTTTATATTATTAAGACCTTATAATATATATAAAAAGGAGGCTTATCTACTAGTGTAGTAATATAGGCCTAGTCCTTATTACTAAGCTAGGCTATTACTTATATTAGTAGCTAGTAGGCCTTATTATTAGACCTACTACTATTACTACTATAGGTATAGTCCTTAAGCTACTTTTACTTAGCCTTAAGTATAATGTTAAAGTTAATATAGTAAATATAAAGTTATTACTAAATACTAAGGAACTACTTATTTAGTATAACCTTTATTTATTTATTATAGTCTATAATAATAATAGTAAAGTAATAGACTAAGTATTAGTCTATAAGTTAGTAAATACTAGCTAAAAAAAACTAAAAACCTTTTAGCCTTTTATTATTAATAAGGCTAAATATAGTATTATAAATAGACCTAAGGTAGGTCTATTTAGTAGCCTAAAAGAGTAAAAGTTTAAAGTAATTAGTGTTATAGGTGTTATTAAAACTAATTACTTTAGAGAATTATTTTTATATTTAAAGATAATAAAAAAAGGTCTAGATAAGGCTAATAAAGTAGTCTAGCTTATCTTTTACTTACTTTACTATATATAGGATATTTTACTTATTAAATAGCTTAATTAAAGCTATAGTTAGTAAATACTTATTTAACTTCTCTTAGTTTATATAAGCTTTAGTGTTATAAATATTTTACTAAGTAAATAAGAAATCTAGGAACTACTTTTAAATAATAGTGTATATATTATATACCTAAATACTAACTTATTAGCTTATTATATTAATAGTGTTTATTATAGGCTAAGTAGCCTTATAATAAAAAGGATATATAGATACCTTAAGGCTTAGGCTATAGTTATACTAACTATACTAGGTTACTAGATAATAATATAATAACTACTTGTCCTCTTCTTAGGCCTCTATAATAATCTACTATTAATAACTATATTTTTAAGATATATACTATTAAATACTATTACCTTTTAGTAGTCTAAGGCTTCTAAATTAGTTATATTAGAAGGTATAGTATATAATTTAGCCTTAAGCTTTATACTAGTTCCTCTTTATAATACTAAATTTATTAGCTTTTATAAAAGTATTAACTTAATTAAAGAGGGCATTAGAGGTTTATTCTAGATTACTAAGTATTAGTAGGTTTAGGATAGTTAATATAAAAAGAGAAAAGGATTAGTTATATAAAGTATAGTAAAAGGCTATAGTTTAAAAAGACACTTTACTTTAAGGGGGTAATTATTATTAAGGTAGTAAATAAGGTAGTAAATTAGCTTAAAGACCTTATTATTCTTACTATTAATAAATATACTTTTATTATTAAAGAAGTACTATTATTAGCTATTAATTAGTCTTAATAACCTAGTAAATAAAGTTAAAAGTATTATTAAACTACTATATAATAAGATAAGAAGGTTACTAAGACTACTTATAAGAGGGAAAAAGGCTATACTTTAAAGAAAGTTAAAAAAGAATAGTCTACTAAGTTTTTATTAT